TCCAACATGGCCGCGATGACGCCACATGAGAACCACCTATAAATCATATAGATATCTGTCGCGAGTATTTTAAAGTGCTTGAATTGGGAAAGTCATTATCAAAGAAAACTACTTTGCGTACAGTGGCGTAGCCAGCCTAACAATTTAGTCATGCTATGATAATATTTTGGTGTTCATTGATTGTGAAAACAATAAATTTCTGAAGAAATGTACAGGGGGTCCAAAAAAAAAAAGCAACCACTTAAATATGCAGAACATTAATACAGGTCTAAAGCGCAATAGATAAGCACCTCTGGGAATTGAAAATGGCTCTTAATCCTTCACTTACAATGCTAAAAGTCATTTTAGCTGAACTATGGTGCAAACCCGAACAATATTAATATTCTTGCATTTAAGTGGTTGCGTTTTTTTGGGACACCCTGTACAGGGTGTATAAAAAAAAACGCAACACTTAATATTCATGAATATCCTCTTTGTTCTACAACACAAAAGACGTTTGGCCCCTGGAATGCGAGAAAGCTTATAATCATATTCTAGCGGCACAATCGTCGGTAAACAAAGTCGGGTGCGTAAACCAACGAGCTGAATTGAAAGTATTTAACGAGTAAAATTTTATTTACAATTTATTTTACAAGGTCGACAGTTAGCATTCAAGTTATCATGCACGACAATAAAACTCGTTGTTCAGTTGTTAGCTGCACCATTATTAGTTTGGCTGATTAATTTGACCATTAGCAGTTGAACTGTACGATTAGAAGCCATTTTAAAATCCCAGGGGCATAAAATCTATTGAGCTTATGAACAATATGAATTTTAGAATATTAAGTGGTTGCGTTTTTTTTTATACACCCTGTATAACAAAAAAAAATTGTTCTGAATTTCTGCGTTAGAGCTGGCGTATTAATTGGGAGCGGTCCCATTCGTGCACAACATTCATTTATAAAATTTTACTCGAGGATTTTTAGGGATTTAAAATCTCTCCCTCCGTGATAAGCTCCGCCGGCCTTGGGCTATAGTAACCCATGTAACTGGATTTTCCTTTGGAGCAACCCATAGATTTTCCATCATATAGGGTGGATAATAAAAGGCAACCACTTAATTTTCAAAAATATTCACTTAAAGTGGCGTAGCCAGCCTGACGATTTGTCCTGCTATGCTAATATTTTGGTGTTCATTGACTGTGAAAACAATAAATTTCTAAAGAAATGAATAATCATTTAACTCAAAATTTACATAGCGGGACAAAATCGTCAGGCTGGCTACGCCACTGTTCACTTTGTGAGCTGCACAATTAGAAGTACTATTGTACTATATTGTGCTTAAATAACAATATATGAATATTGAGTGTTTTTATTCAAGCTGTATAATTATTGTAGTTTTTCAGAGCATGGTATTTAGAAATATATGAGGTATAAGGCATCTACAGGGTGTCCCAAAAAAACCCGAAAACTATTGAAATCACTCATTGTTAAAAATTAAATGCCGTGTTCACGAATTTCAGCCCGTGGGAATTTAATGCAACTTATAAAATGCTAAATGCTTTGTGTTGCTAGAGAAAGGGGACATGTCGAAGGTCATGGTCCTTAAGATGCACATTTAAATATAATGTTATACATATTTCTAATATGTAAAAATTGTTAATAAATATCATTTTTGCGAACAAGCAAATTAGACTGCATCATATGCATGCATAAAAATGCTTATGGCAACCCCGATTTATACACTTGTGGGCCCAACAGAGTGCTTAGGCATTCAAACTCTAACAATGGCATTGTTATGGGAGATTTCAACAGTTTTCGTTTTTTTTGGGACACCCTGTACAGGGTGTATCAAAAAAAACGCAACCACTTAATATTCATGAATATCCTCTTTGTTCTACAACACAAAAGACGTTTGGCCCCTGGAATGCGAGAAAGCTTGTAATCATATTCTAGCGGCACAATCGTCGGTAAACAAAGTCGGGTGGGTAAACCAACGAGCTGAATTGAAAGTATCTAACGAGTAAAATTTTATTTACAATTTATTTTACAAGGTCGACAGTTAGCATTCAAGTTATCATGCACGACAATAAAAACTCGTTGTTCGGTTGTTAGCTGCACCATTATTAGTTTAGCTGATTTGACTATTAGCAGTTGAACTGTACGATTAGAAGCCATTTTAAAATCCCAGGGGCATAAAATCTATTGAGCTTATGAACAATATGAATTTTAGAATATTAAGTGGTTGCGTTTTTTTTTATACACCCTGTACTGTACGTATATATAATACATACATGTTCGCCCATCTCCGGTATAATCTTCGTTACAAAGGCAGGTAAATGAACCATCCGTGTTTATACATGTCGCTCGAATTGAATGATCACAATTGTTACTCCCAATCTCGCATTCATTTATATCTGTAGTCATAAAACACAAATAATTTCAAGACTTGGTAAATATCTGACGAATCTCTTCTACGAGCGGATATCAATATTATTGCATGGGGCACGCTGCAACAGTGATACTATTGGTGACTTCATTCACATCCCTCAAATAGAATAAGCGAATATACTATAATAATATAGAAGATTACCTTCGCAATGACTACCATTTCTAGCATACCCTACACTACAAGTACAGGTGAAACTTCCAAGAGTGTTTTCGCATTCAAATTTCTCGGGACAGTGAGTTCGAAGCTGGCATTCATCTGTGTCTGTATTCAAAAAATAAAAAGTCTATATATTAGAGTTTATTGAATTTAGCCGGAAAATACATATAGTAGCTACATGAAAAACTTACTTTAAAAAAGCAGTTCTTGGGTCAATTTGCCCCTGAACTACTTTCATGTAGACATTTGTGATTTACGGTGGAGACCTAATTTAAATGCATGCTTGTGAATGTATTGAAAAAAAACTTAAAGTCTTAAACACTCGATCTAATGAGCAGATTCAATCTGTATGAATTGATAAAAAGTGTTAAAGGATGCAAAGAAAAACTTACCATATGCTACAACATAAAACTTACCATATGCTACAACTAAATCGTGAATTTGAACATTATTGGTGATATTCCCAAGCTTCTCAAGCGATGTTTTCAAATACATGTCAATCCGGTTGTTGTTGATGTCAAAAACAAACAAATTAAGGAAGTCAGAAGTCACTTCAATTTTGCCTGGATACGATATATTCAAAGAAACTGTTTCTTTATTAGGCAGTGTTTTCATGACGCTGTGATAGCTTCCATCGAAATTCGCCCAATAAATAACATTATTGTATTCGTCAAAAAAAATTGACTGTGCAGAACCGCCGGCAAAATGGATCTCCGATTTTGATTGATCCGATGGATTGTAGCGCACGATTTGTGGATCTTTTGCACTTGCTATGTAGAGGTAACTGTAAAAAAGGAAAATTATAAACTAAGTTAATGTAAAAAAAACAGCCACAGTGTATGATGTTGAAAATCATCCATTATGCATGACAAGAACGTATTGAAAAGCATCGAAGTAAAAAAGAAGAAATTTATTGGTACAAAAGTTTAATTGTACAACTACAAGCCCCTACAAAATAGGACAAAATATAGAATGAAACATGTATTCCTGCAAAAGTAATAATTGACAATGAATCGCATTATACCCATTAGTTGTGTCCATTTCAAGATCTGTGACGTTGGATAGATAGGATAAAGCATCAATTTTAATATCTTGTCCACCTGTCATATTGTGTGTTCTTAATTTATGTTCAATTGAGTGATAATAAATTATCGAATTTGTTCTCCCATCCACCGTGAATAAATCCACATCATTGATTGATGTTGTAGTAGCATCTGAGCCATCCAAATTGTAACTTGTAAAACCTTGTAACTTCACATACAGGTACAACCGTTTGTTTATTGCATCAAAAGACAGTAAAGCATTCACTCTATCGTCAACTTTGGTTGGGATACTTGTGGATATTTTCGTATTATAGGACAGCGTGCCCAGTGATGTTGAGAAGAATAAATATGGTATTTGGTGACGAACTAGAAGGTGTTTAAAAGACTTGATCGAAGGAAAGTAATTACTTAAAATACAAACAGACAATATTATCTAGAAATCGTTTACATCTATAAAAGTAATACGTCCAGAGCACCAAGTTAGGGTTATGGTTGGGCTTTTTGCAACACCTCAATATAATTTGGGTGAAGTTACCTAATCAACAGGACATTTTCCTGATTTTTATGTTACGTATCACTGCATGATTTGTCTCTTCTTGTAATACGGCATAAATTCCACATGTACACAAGTAATTCATGAGAGCAATTGACGAACATAGCTACAAATCACCAAATTAGTTTAAACTTTATTTTGCTGCACGTAAGACACATATCTATTGTAATTTCAAATTTCTTCTCCTTGAAAGTGGCCATAATATTCGAAGTTGAGTTAGTTGACTAAAAATGATTATGGGCTAAAATTATATTGATGCATGCAGGTTTTTTTCAAGTTATGAGCTATTCAAGTGCAATAGCTACAGCATTAGTCACAGTTACCTTCACTTTCACATCTTTCACCGCGATATTCAGCAGGACATCTGCATTGAAATGATGAAGGACCAAGATTGATGCACGTTCCTCTATTGTAACATGGAGCACTAGCACAAGGGGTATCTATGAAAAATGGAAATTTAAAGTATGCAAATTTAATTTCTTATTTTACTTTAAAATGGGCACTATTTTCGTCACCATTAAACGGTATAAAAGCTAAGTTAGTGGAAGAATATCAGATTAAATTTTGAATCATATGATGTTGTTATTTTGAATTTGACAAAATAAAAACATATTCTTCTTTCTGGCTTCGAAGGTTTTTCAGATGCTTAGTGGAGCTATATGATTTTGATAAAGGAAAACCCCCTTTTCTTAACTTAGAACCAAGTAATCATATTATATAATATATATATTCTATCTCTCTTTGTGCATGCATGCATACTGACATGGGATTTTGCTATAAAATAAGTATAACTAAATTTTACAATAACCATTACTTACGGCAAATTGCAGATTCATTTGTTCCCTTCCATGGTATATTCACATGGGGTGAGCAATCATCACCGTAAGCTTCAAGAGCCTGACAATAACAAACAACTGGATCATCTTCACAAGCACACATATCATATTCACAGTTTTCAATATATCCTTCATTGGTCGCATCTATGTAACTGGAACAAATGCTGAAAGGCGGGTTAAGTAATGTTGAACACTTTTCACGGGCCACCAATCTTCTCGCTGGTTTGACATCACATGGGTGTAGCACTTCAACAGCATTTGGGCATTCTGAATCAACTTTCCAAGAGTTTCCGAAGGCTACTGGGTCAGTTAAAACTGTTCTATTAGATGTCCAGAATTCATCATCGCGTCTTTTATTATAGGTACCGCATAAACCAGATGTTCTGTTTAAATAACGACCACGAACGGTCACTCGCACATTGTAGACATTGTTCCAAAATACTGTGACACCATAATCACTTGTTACCAATGTTTGACCACTTGCAGGTTTAGTAATGTTAACACCTTGAAAATATGATCAAATAAAGTGTAATAGTCGGTGAAGAACATGCATCGATGACATTAGCTATTATTATATACTTTTCTTATATGTCAGTTTATCAAATATATATTTAAATTAAGTCATACTTGATTTATACTGTAAGTATTTCTTTGCAGATAAAAAAGGAGAAACGCTTAACATTTAATAAATCTGCAAATAATTTCAGTAAAGTAATTTCCTATCAAGATACCTGGATAGAAGACTGGCAATGTGACTTTCACTCCATTGACCAAAGTCATTCCTCTTCGGAGTTGAATGGAGGTTGAATTGGTGAATATCACTGTCAATGATTTCGTACACGTCGGAAGTCCATTTCCACAAGGTTCATTTGCTTGCCTTATTTCAAATATGTTGTTTACAAAGTCTTTTGCCAGAACATATTCACATTTTCCCATGAAGTCAAAACGTTTTCCATCGAATGTCGTGTAATGCGGATCTCCCTGAGCTTTACATGTCGCTTCAACTACAAATGAAAGTATAAATTTCATTTATTGCTGCCTTTTAAAGCTGTAGGGCAGTAAAAGTTCATGTACGCACGGTAGAGGGAAAATCAAGTGAAATAATTAAGGCTAGAGCATTGTCTCATTGTCTAAAGGTTAAGAGACAAAAAAACAACGTTGAAGCAGCCTGACGACTTGAACCTTGTTGTTCACATGAGCTCGAAATAACTTAATTTCCGACGCGAGGCTACTCGTTATCCCAGCACAAAATTCCATGCATTTCCATCGACTTTGGGACAAGTTCTCTGACTTGTCCCAGAGTACTACATAGCGGGATACCGGCAAATGTACATGACTATGCCTTGTAAAACGAAATAAATTATATCATTTGCCATTTAACACTTATTTACTGCGAACGAAGGAAACATTATGTTTTGTGGACCCGAGACCTGTCGATATTTCACGAGGCGAAGCCGAGTGAAATATCGATGGTCGAGGGTCCACAAAACATAATGTTTTCTGAGTTTTCGGTAAATAAGTGTTTTATTATATACCACTTGTCAAAGAAAAACCAAACTACAAGGTAAACAACGAAATATCTATTCATAAAAGACATAATTTCAAATGGATAAAACTTAAAAGTTGTTATTTCCCATGAGATAACACGTTATCTCACCCTGCAGGGGGTCGCGCTGGCGACATCAAAATTTCGTCACTCTCGCGTGATTCGCTCTCGACCAATGAAACGCTACGAAAACAAAACTTTGACAAGTGGTATATAATAATATTATTTTTTGCCATGCACTTCTAGATTGTTTGTCTCTGAACATAAATCTAGAATTTTATTTCTAACGATCTTTTTGTCCCGAGGTATAAGTTGCAGTGAAACACATGGCGCAAGTATAGAGTATATTCTTCTCTGTAGCAGCGAGACACTCGAGTTAGCTCCTGATGTTAAGTATTCTTTTTCAGAGAGTAATTATAGCTCCTACCTCTTTTATCACAGTTTTCTCCTTCAAAATCAGCGTTACAAACACATTGATGGGTATCACCAACTGCTACACAAATTTCATTTCTTCCGCAAATGAGTTCATCACAGTTTACTAAACAGAGAAATGGAAAAATAATCGCTGTTCAAATGAAACGAGACGGTTGTTTCAATAACATACAACAGGTTCGATTATGACGCAAGCGTTTGGGAAAATATGCGATATAGCTGCATGGTGATAAACAAGATAACATATTCATGGATAAAACCACTGTCCGGCCTATAGACGGACCTGGGGCCGGTTGTATCAAGCCCGTTTAGCCTAAACGGTGGTTAAGTTCAAAATAGAAAGCAAGTCTAACGTTTTACTCAACAAGCAAACTAAATGTTTTTAACCTTAATACAAAGATACTGTTTGCAACTACATATTTAGTACATAATATTCAAGTTCACTCATTCAAGAAAGATGTAAGAGTGTTATTTAATTTTGACTTATCCACCGTTTAAGCTAAACGGGCTTGATACAACCGGCCCCAGGGCCGTAAGTACAAAATAAATGTAATTGTTGGGATACATGTTTTTCAAATAAATTATTCAGTTCGGCTCGACGAATTTCTATTTTAAGCTATTGCACTTACAAAGGAAATCCGTCGGGCGGAACTGAATGATTATATTTATTATTCATTAGATAGTGTAATCGTCTGCTGATTGGCTGAAAATGCATATGTACGGATAATTTCAGATATCCGTCGGTGCCCGAGCTATATTTCAGCGGACATAGCGTTATCTGTTGGTGCCCATGCTTTTTGCCAGCTTTTATAGTGTTAGGTTGTTATCTGCAGACGTTTTTGGACCGCGCCCGCGGTTTCATACCGGTATCGTACACAAGCGCGGGAAATTCGCGAGCTTCGGTTTTTTCTATTTACGTAATAAAATTTACAATGGCTGCAAGTACGAGTGCTCGACTCGCATCAGTTTCAAACAGTGGCGTAGCCAGCCTGACGATTTAGTCATGCTATGCAAATTTTATGTTATTATCATTATTCATCTCTTTAGAAATTCATTGTTTTCACAGTCAATGAACACCAAAATATTAGCATAGCATGACTAAATTGTCGGGCTGGCTACGCCACTGGTTTCAAAACAGGGAGTGGAGAAAATACTCGCTAATAGAGACTCAGGATACGAAGTACTATTTTGAATGACGAGCAATAAATTGTTTGAATATTTACGTTTTATTATGCTCATGTCCTCTTTTTCTGGGATCCAGTGAATAATAAAACAATTACTAAATTCGGCTTTCGTAGGATATCCAGAGTAATTTAGGCCTCATCCTGCTGAGCTTCATCCAATAAGTTTAGAATTAACACCCCCCCCCCCCACCCCATAGGCAAATTCGAATACTACATTATGGTCAGTAAAATTAAACACAAAGTCAAAGATCTAAAATTTCTATTCAAGTTTGGAAAAATAATTTTCATACCAAAAAATACCCAATTCAATTAGGTTCTTGTTTGTATATAATTTTTTTGGCCGGTGGATAAACAATAAAACTTTATTAAAAAGTAATAAAACCATACCTTTGCAAGTAGTAGACGACATATTCCGTGCCAAAGTCGCGAATTCATTAAAATTCTGTAACAAATAGACATGATTATCCACGGGAGGAGAAGCCATTGTCCTAAGCTCGTCCACATCGATTCCTGAGCCAACTCCAATAGAATATATGACGATACCAGAGTTTTTCAATTCTTGCGATGGTAGTGCGACACTGCCACTGCTCCTCCCATCGGTTAAGACTATCAATACTCTTTTTGTTCCTGAAAAAATTCAATTTATTATACATGGGCCCATGGTCACAGCAGATTCATCATGCATATTTCCCCGGTTCCATTTATTCATTATTTTATTTTGGAAAGGGTTCAATGTGATTGCGATGAACATAATTCAAATGTAGGACATGTCTCACGTTCGAACATCCATTAAACTGGAAGAAAATAAAGCTTCTTACCAAAAAGAATCAATAAAGATCAGATTTTTCTTTATGGGTTAAGAAAATCTAATCTTCTCAGAATAAAATCGGCGCAATCAGATACTTTACCCCCCAAATTAGTTTAAAAATAAAACTTTTCGAAGTTGGTTTTGAACACATTTGGGTCGAATGCACACCAAACCAATTATTATATAGAATGATTCAATAGAATCCAATTCAACAAACCTAATATGCGGGCACCATTGTTTGTATTGAACATGTCAGATTTCGCAAGTCTCAAGCCTTGGGCAGTATTAGTGCCTCCACCAGTGTAAGGAATGTTGTCTATCGCGGAATGAAGATCTTGTCGTGTCGGAAACTCCCGAGAAAATGTAAAATGTAAAGTCGGTGAGGACGCATATGACATCACGGAGACCCTTGTATTGTTTTGTGAAATCTTAAAATGATCGGTAAGGTCCTTAACAAAAGATTTTATTGTCTCAAAATGTCCACACCCAATACTACCAGAACTGTCTAACATAAATCCAAGATCACTCTTCGTCGTACACCTTGAAATTAATTCACCTTAAAAGGAAAGAAAGCACGTAAATGCCACGACAGTTTAAGATACCACTGGGTATAATTGCTGTAAACTATATATTTGTTGATGGCTAACATACGAATAACATCTGTTTGCCAGCTAGCTTAGATTTTTTTTTAAAATAGAGGCAATAATATATAATTATTATGGTGCATGTATCAGGGAAGTGATTTTGAATAAAGGGAGGGTCATTCTCGAAATATTTTCTGCTTTGAAAAATTGTTTCCAATGCATGAAATAATTCAGTCCTCGTGAAAGCCATAGGAAACGTGGTCAATAGGTCGTGGTCAAGGATTGATTCTTCTTGCGGTCGATCACCTTTCTTTAATTTTTTTTAATTTTCACAGCGTGTAAGAGTAGTTTCACTTTATAGCTATTGTGGGATACAGATACATACACGTTTGTCCATCTCCGGTATAGTCTTCCTTACAAACACAGGTAAAAGAGCCTTCGGTGTTGATACACGTTGCTCGAAATGGATTATCGCAGTTATGTGTTCCAGTGTCACACTCATTTATATCTGAAGACATAAATCACAAATAGAACTATAAGGTTAGTCTTCTTCAAGTCAAGTAGCTATATGAGAGCTTCACTGTATCTGGCAAAGTTTTAACAAAGCGCTCTCTCGCAGTGACTGTTTCCATTTTGCACTCGTCAATATCTGGTAATTGGATTTACAATAATTGCATGCATTATAGTGTTTTAGAAAATATTCTCTCTTTATTTCCAGGCGTGTGTATTAATGCACTGCAAATATCAATATTTAATTTTTCTGCATTCTGCAATAAAATGAGCACAATAATCATTACATATGGTTTGTACAAACCGCTGCAAAAGGTGCCGTCTCCAGTGTATCCAATAGGGCAAGAACAAACGTAGGAACCCGGAGTATTCAAGCAAGTTGCATTCGGATTAACGCAAATGTCTGGTTTCAAGAAGCATTCGTTAATATCTGAAGAGAGAAAACGGGAATTATGTCTGTTGCATTTTTTTCGAGTAATTATTAATGAATGTTTAGAACAATAATAAGACCATTTAGCTAAATTTCTTGAATTTTTGTTCTGTTCCCTTATCAATTTCAGCAAAAAATTTTTCTGATTTTTTGAAGGTTATATCGGTATATGTTTTACTTTCTTTCATGCACATCATTTAGCAGACATCTTGAACACGCAGTTTTCACTAATGGTGCAACCGCCTACAATTCTTTGTGATTGACATCGTCAATGCTGAAGATATATTAACTCTAAAAGTCTTTTCAAGGTTTAATTTTTCTTTTCTTTATTATACCTTTCTCATTCTTTACCTGAACAAAGTTTCCCATTTCCATTATATCCTATGTTACATGAACAGCTGAACGATCCATTTGTGTTAACACACGACGCTTGAGCATTGCAGGTGTCTTTTCCCATTTTGCACTCGTCAATATCTGGTAATGGGATTTAGAATAATTGCATGCATTATAATGTTTTATAATATAACATTTATAGTACGCGCGTGCTGATTGGTCGAGAAGCGTGTTTCTATAACTGTATAGAAACACGGGAATTTTCCCGCCGAACTTGTCAAGCGAAGTAATGTAATGAGAATTTGTAATTGAATCGAATTATAATATTTGTAAAAAATCTTTTTATGGAGTTATATTATAAAAGAAATAGAAAACGTTTTTCCTGTGTTTCTATACAGTTATAGAAACACTTGTGGGAGTTTGGGAGAACTCGAAATAACGTGGAAAAACTCGCCCTACGGACTCGTTTTCCCACTGATTATTTCTCGTTCTCCCAAACTCCCACGCGTGTTTCTATAACTGTATAGAAACACGGAAAATGTTTTCTATTTCTTAATTAGAAAACATTTATTTCCAGGCGTGTATATTAATGCACTGCAAATATCAATATTTAATTTTTCTGCATTCTACAATAAAACGGGCGCATTAATCATTATATATGATTTGAGAAGCAAATTTGAAACCTTTCTTCATTAGTTCAAAAGTTGAAATTGCTAAGAAGAAACTCAGCAAGAATTTTTGTATATGTTGCTACCTGCACAGTTCACACCATTTCCAGAAAACCCTTCCTTGCAAGAGCAGTTAAAACTTCCCAATGAATAGGAGCATGTTGAATACACAGAGCAAAAGGTTCCACGGCAACATTCATCCACGTCTAAAAATGAAAAAAATGTTTGCCAAATTTTTTATTGAATATAATTTTTGGAAACGGGTATTCGAACACACAAAATTAATGGGGTGCATCATTTACCATCTATCCTCTGCTCATTAAAAAAAATTACCCAACATTTACAATACATGTACTTTTGTACTGTGTACTATTATCATCAAATTTAAAATTGAGGTATTTTTAGAAATATTATATCTCAACTGTAAATCATCCAATCAGAAAGCTCGCTTTGTACCACGTGATCAGTAAATTAATCATGGAGTCCCATCGAATTTTTTCACATTATGCTATAAAAGTCGAATACCCCGCTGCAGCGGGGTATTCGAGTTTGCGTGTACCACGCGTGGATGCTTCGCACACGACTCGAGGTTGTCAACAATTTCAAAATAGAGGCAAAAGAAGCCATTTCACCCAGCTTTTGCGCTGCCTACACGTTTACATATAATTTATAGACCTTCCGCTGGGGGAATTCGACGAAATATTACCCCCTCGAGAAGATATATCCCTCCCTTGGGGGTAATATTTCGTCGAATTCCCCTCGCTCCAGGTCTATAAATGATAATTATCGATTGTAAAATAGAAGCCCTATTAACGTACATTATTTCAGCTAATTAAACCTGTACGGAAGCAAGAAGATTTAAAGATTAACTACCATTGCAAGTCATTCTTAAAATATTCAAAGAGCTACTCACCATATGCAACAACAAAACCGGCCATTTCTTGGTTCAATGAAATGTTTCCAACTTGTTTTAAAAATAAGTTCTTGACATATATGTAAATCAACTTATTATCTTTAGATAACACATACAAATTGTCAATATCAGTCGCAACTTGTATTTTGTTTGAATAGGTAATGTTCAGCTTGCTTGTTTTGCCAGTATATGTCGTTTTCATGACCTCGTAACCAGTGTCCTCGTAATTTATCCAGTAGATAGCACTGTCGTATACGTCAACAGAAATTGACTGCGCTAACCCGGAGTAGGTGAAATTTTTGAAAGTTTGATCATTTGGATCGTAACGAATTATTGGAGGATTTGAGGATCTGGCTATATAGAGATAACTATGAAAAGAAAGAGTACATGGTTTTACGAAATGTGTGAAAAAATCGTACATTTAAGCACTAACTGTTCCTTGGACGTTATTGGATGTTTTAATCTGCAGCTATTACATAAGTGTAATGGATGTCTGCTATTATACTTAGAATTAGGAGTAAGATTTACGTAATTTACCCTGAAACTATGTCGATTTCCAAATCTCTTACGTCAGAGATATCCGATAGAGCCTCAACTGCAGTTTGTTGACCACTTGAAATATTGTGCATCCATATATTTTTATGAAGTGAGTGGTAATAATATATCACATTACTTTTGCCATCGACTGTGAAAAAGCTTACATTACTGATCGGTATGGAGGTAGCGTTGGAACCATCCAAATTGTAACTATGAAATCCTGTATTATTAAAATACAGGTACAACCTTCTGTTTATACCATCATATGACAACAAAGCATTTAAACGATCATCGATACTGTTCGCGCTGAGTATGTGTTCTTTTGTGCTATAGGACAAAGTGCCCATTGATGTGGAAACGAATAAATAAGGTACTTGGCATTGATCTGAAAAGAAGAAACGTTAGTCGTGAATTTTCGTTCCAAAAACATAGTTGGAAATATTGTATACATGATTTTTAAACAATAATAAATGTTCACTTTCTACTGTAAAAATTCGAACATCTCATCGAAATCTCATCGACAATCTAACCATTGGTTTTACCCGGAATTCCTATAAGCAGGCGAATTGAACGACCAACAAGAAACATGACAGTGTTCAGGATTTAGTTACCTTGAATTTCACATCTATCTCCCAGGAAACTAGGATGACATCTACATTCAAATGAAGCACCAACGTTTGTACACCTTCCTCCATTGTAACATGGAGCACTCGCACAAGGGGTACCTTTCAAAAGAAGGTTCGATAATCGCTCAGAATGATGGAAATATTTATAATCAAGTCAACTGTGTAACACGCAAAAATGTTGAATACTGGAAGCACAAAAAATTCATTTCAAAGAAATCTCAAGAAGTGCAGTTACAGTAGTTATTTACTTACGGCAAATTGAGGATTCATCTAGACTCTCCCAAGGTATAACAACATTGGAAGCACAATCATCAGCGTAAGCTTCAAGAGCCTGACAATAACAAACAACAGGATCATCTTCACAAGCACACATATCATATTCACAATCTTCAATATATCCTTCTTGAACCGGATCGATATAACTGGAACAATTACTGAAAGGTGGTTTGGTTAACGCTGAACACTTATTACGAGCTATCAACTTTCTCCCTGGATTGATGTCACATGGGTGCGGCACTTCAACGGCTTCGTCACATTCTGGATCAACTTTCCAAGAATTTCCGAATTCAACAGAATCAGTTGTACATATTCCATCGTAAGTGCAGAAATCATCACCTCGTCTTTTATTATAAGTACCACATAAACCAGATGTTCTATTTATATAACGACCTAGAATTGTCACTCGCACATTGTAGACATTGTTCCAAAATACTGTCACACCATAATCACTTGTTACCAATGTTTGACCACTTCCAGGCTTAGTAATGTTAACATCTTAAATGATTATAAAATAGAATAATAAGTCGGGGACTTTCAATGGAGCGAAGACAAACTGTACAATAGAGAATATTATTGTTATGCTATGCGCCCCCCTACTTTGCTTCTCAGATCAGAATAATGAATACACTTTGATGTGATCCATGTGATCCATGTCAAATTATGTTAATTCATGTGATCCATGATTCGCCCAACTTAATTACTCGCAAAATAGAAAAGAAAAGCTGAAGAGAAACTAAAGGTATAGAATTTTATTGTTTTAAATAAAAAATGAATCATTTTATCTTGACTCATGAAATTTTTTTATCCAATAGAACTCATAAACCGAGATACCTGGATAGTCGACTGGCAACGTAACTTTCACACCATTAACTAACGTCATTCCTCTTCGGAGATGAATAAAGGTTGAATTTGTAAATATCACAGTCAATGATTTCGTACACGTCGGAAGTCCATTTCCACAAGGTTCATTTGCTTGCCTTATTTCAAATGTGTTGTTTACAAAGTCTTTTGCCAGAACATATTCACATTTTCCCATGAAGTCAAAACGTTTTCCATCGAATGTCGTGTAATGTGGATCTCCTGAGCTTTACATGTCGCTTCAACTACAAATAGGAGTTTAAAATATAAATTGAGCTGTTGTTGTTCGCATAAGGAATACATAAATAAAATATAGTTTCGTGGAAATACTGTGGGTAGATGTCGAAAACTCTCATGCTCAGACCACTCGTCATTCGATGGCCCATCCCTTGAGACGTTTCAATCTAGAAAGTTCTGTAAATTTTTATCGCGGCATTTTTCCGTGCTAAGCTTAGTTTTCGTCAAGATCATCTTACGATAATCGAATATGTATCCGAAACGCCCAAAAAATGCAGTTAATACACATATTCGTAGATAATATTGCACCTACCTCTCTTTTCGCAACTTTGTCCTTCAAAATCATGGTTACAAACACATTGATGGGTGCCACCGACCGCAACACACATTTCATTTTCTCCGCACTTCATTTCATTGCAGTTTAAAACTAAAATGAAAAAAAATCTAAATGAGTATAATAGAAAAACAATTTGTAAAATTCAATAGATTCTCGACTTCGAAATGCAAGTAATTTAGCTCTGTTATATGATAATAATCTTTAATTAGGAAAACTTTGTCACTATAAAGTGGTTTTCACAAAGGTCCTGCTTATATAGATCACTATAAAAAATATGAAACTATATGTATTAGATAAAAGTCGCTTTTTAAACATTCAACAAGACGCCTACTCAGGCGATCACTCGGACTACAGTTATCTCGTAGTAACAGGGCATGTTCGTGACACGCGCGCGAGAAACGATCCTAGGACGATTTCGATTGGTTCGAAGACTTCGTGCCGCCCACGCGTGATTTTTGTAAACTCGCGACGCAAAAGAAAAAACCGAGCCCATTTTACAACTCGGTCTACCTACGGTAGTCCGAGTAATAAAATATAGATAAGTCTAGGGTTATTAGGTTAAAGGTTTGAGAGTAACTTTCTCTTAAAAATCGATAATGAGGAAGCATTTCGTAAATATTACTGTGCTTGTTCATTTAGAATTGTGTTTATTTTTCTGTCGCACATTCTGCTACAAGCATGCATCTATACCACCCCGATTCGTTTCCTAGAATACCAGGCTGACCTGGGCGCGGTTTTCTGCTTTGCAATTAAAATCTTGAACCAAACTTGTACCAAATAAGGCGTTTGTTACACAGGCAAAATGTAATAGCGCGGCATAACATACCATTGACAAGCAGAACAAGAAATAAGTAGTAAAATTCAAGGCTCGGTATAATATGTTAGTCATTAACTAATCTCACATTTGCGCGAGATATTCGCTCAGGGAATTTTTTTTGCAAATATTACCAATTAATGGATTATAACCAACACGAATACTAGTATTTTTTGCTTCTCATGTACATAATTTGAATAAATTGACGAATCTTAGTAAGTATGGACAGGACCGCTTGGCATTGGTGATTGCGAGCAAAGTGTGGCACCTAATAACGTTTATCATCTCATTAAATAATATTGTTTGAATTGCATTCGAAGCGACCAAAATGCGACGTGTAACCTAGGGATACATTTGTGCATGGTTTAGATGTGTTATAAAAAATATGTTAAAGAACGATAAAACCATACCTTTGCAAGTTGAGGACGACATATTCTGTGCCAAAGTTGCAAATTCATTAAAATCTTGCAATAAGTAAACATATTTATCTGCAGGATGTGAAGCCATTGTTTTTAACTCGTTTACATCGATTCCTGAGCCAACTCCAATCGAATATACGATAACGCCTGCTTTTTTTAGCTCCTGGGATGGTTGCGCAACATTTCCACTGCTTTTCCCATCAGTCAACACTATCAATATTCTTTTTGTGTCTGAATGAATAATTTTTATTGATATTTCATTTATATTCGTTATTAACAACATCATGATGAAAAATATATATCGGGCATATTGCTGCGTATGCAAAAGAGTACATATTTTCGGTTCAGGAGGAGAGCTCGAGCCTCGAGGGGGATGCAATGAGATGTATTGATAAATTTTTTAGAATTCGCTAACTTTAGTTACTCAAAGATCTGGATTGGATTTGTAACTGAAATAAAGTTGAAATAACAAGAGAGTTCATATTCATAATTTCATTATTATTGAATCCGTTCAAATTTTTTTATGGCGCTAAATACGTGATAAACGTGATATGCATGCATGATAAACAAAAAATAACAAAATAAAAGAATAACTCGTATAATTAACAAACCTGATATGCGGGTATTAAACATGTGCGATTTCGCAAGTGTCAAGGCTGCGGCAGTATTAGTGCCTCCACCCGTGTACGGAATGTTGTCTATAGCAGAATAGAGATCTTGCCGTGTTGGAAATGCTTGAGAAAATGTAAGATGCAATGACGGCGAGGAGGCATATGACATCACGGAGACCCTTGTATTATTTTGTGAAACTTTGAAGTGATAGATAAGGTCCTTTACAAACGATTTCATTGTCTCAAAATGTGCTGACCCGATACTACCAGAACTGTCCAACATAAATCCAAGATCAATCTTCGTCGTACACCTTGGAATTAATTTACCTACGAAAAGAAAATGGAAGAACATTTTAATAAAAAGAAAATTGCCCGTTGAATCAGACTTGCATTGCAAGTAATAGTTAAGGACTTATCTGTATGGGAATTTTACATGGCGAGTGCGTTGCTCGCAAATCCCATAGAGAACAGTCGCTTGTATTTTGAGATTTTTTGTGAAATTGATTATCAATCTATGACAGCACCCTTGCATTACCTTTTACACAGAACAACCACATGCAGTAATTACCGATCTATACTTGCATCATATGTTTCATTACATGCATGTGAAGAAGATACTGTAAAGTTAACAGTACTTAGAAATTAACTATTCCAAATTTCGCAAAAAGGATTAAAGTATTTGGAAGAAAAAATAGAACCCATTGTTAGGCATAAAAGATAAAAAAATTGCCCCAACATTCGCCCAGAAATGAATTGATATCAATGTTATCAAACTGTTTTCCGGTCGAGCTTTGGTAGAGATATTAAGAATATTAACGTCAATGAGTGCGCAACGATGTTTGGCATAGATAACCCATGGCACTGAAAAATTTTTATGTACAGTGCACTGTAACTAAAGATATCAATAGTATACCAAAATGGCATAATTTCCTTTCTAACTTTCTATAATGATGACAAATGCTAGATATTTAAATTATATCATATTCTCAATTGTAGACGTTATACATACATGTTCGCCCATCTCCAGTATAATCTTCGTTACAAATACAGGCAAATGAACCATTCGTGTTTATACATGATGCTCGAATTGAATGGTCACAGTTGTTACTCCCAATCTCGCATTCATTTATATCTGTAGTGTTAAAACACAAAAATTAATAATTTCCAGACAAGGTACATAAAGTACTAGGTACATACATTTCCCGCAGTCTGGGGCAAATAGTAAAGCGTAGTTCTTATATGTCACCCACGGTCGACGTTGGCCTTGCATTATTTTGGATTTTTTTTTTGTTACAGCCCACAAACAATACATCGGCGTTGTCAGTGACATATGAGAACCATGCAGGCTTTAACGAAGCTTATTTTAAGCAAATATTGCAAAAAGCCGGCACACGACTGTTGTAAAAAATTTCTTTTAGTTAAAAGAGACACAGCGTGGCATTTATGTGTGTACCTTCACAATTTTCACCATTTCCAGTGTATCCTTCTTTGCAAGAGCAGTTAAAACTTCCCAATGAATCTGAACATGTTGAATACACTGAACAAAATGTTCCACGGCAACATTCATCCACATCTAAAAAATGAAAAATGGCTTTAAGCAAATTTTTATTGAGTACATTTTTTACAATGTTTCTTGAATATTGAAGCCTGAAATAAATAATTTTGTTTTATAGGTGCTGTGTATTTTAAATGTGATTGGTTCATTCATAGTCACATGACTTTAAATAAATGCAATGAAAGTGAAAGTGAAAGTGAAAGTGAAAAGTGCAAGTGAAAAATTGTTGCCCGCATATTGTCATAACAAGGTTTTTTGAAATGAAATTGTCGTGTAACATGTAGGTTTTTGTTTTTATATAACAAAACACTTAATGTTCGCTACACCTGGGGAAATAGTCAGTTTTGTTTTCCCTCGAGTCTCAATGTTTCCCTCGACTCAGACTCATGGGAAAACAAAACTCACTATTTCCCTCGGGAGCATACATTAAGTGTATAATATTTCAGCATGCAAGTTAAACCTGTACACAAGCAACAAGATTTAAAGATTTAAAGGTTATCGACTATTGCAAATCATTCTTAAAATATACAAAGATCTGCTCACCATATGCAACGACAAGACCTCTAATCTCCCGCTGTAATGAAATGATTCCAACATCTCGTGCATCCAAATTCTTGATATATTTGAGAATGAGGTTATCATGCTTAGATATCACGTACAAATTTTCAATATCAGTCGCAACTTGTATTTTGTTTGAATAGGTAATGTTCAGCTTGCTTGTTTTGCCAGTATATGTCGTTTTCATGACCTCATAACCTGTGTCCTCGTAATTGATCCAGTAGATAGCTCTGTCGTATACGTCAACAGAAATTGACTGCGCTAACCCAGAGTAGGTGAAATTTTTGAAAGTTTGATCATTTGGATCGTAACGAATTATTGGAGGATTTGAGGATCTGGCTATATAGAGATAACTATGAAAAGAAAGAGTACATGGTTTTACGAAATGTGTGAAAAAATCGTACATTTAAGCACTAACTGTTCCTTGGACGTTATTGGATGTTTTAATCTGCAGCTATTACATAAGTGTAATGGATGTCTGCTATTATACTTAGAATTAGGAGTAAGATTTACGTAATTTACCCTGAAACTATGTCGATTTCCAAATCTCTTACGTCAGAGATATCCGATAGAGCCTCAACTGCAGTTTGTTGACCACTTGAAATATTGTGCATCCATATAGTTTTATGAAATGATTGGTAATAATATATCACATTACTTTTGCCATCGACCGTGAAAAAGCTTACATTACTGATCGGTATGGAGGTAGCGTTGGAACCATCCAAATTGTAACTATGAAATCCTGTATTATTAAAATACAGGTACAACCTTCTGTTTATACCATCATATGACAACAAAGCATTTAAACGATCATCGATACTGTTCGCGCTGAGTGTGTGTTCTTTTGTGCTATAGGACAAAGTGCCCATTGACGTGGAAACGAATAAATAAGGTACTTGGCATTGATCTGAAAAGAAGAAACGTTAGTCGTGAATTTTCGTTCCAAAAACATAGTTGGAAATATTGTATACAAGATTTTTAAACAATAATAAATGTTCATTTTCTGCTGTAAAAATTCGAACATAATAATGTCATCGACATTCTCACCATTGGTTTTACCAAGAATTCCTAAGCAGGCGAATTCAACGACCAACAAGAAACATGACAGATTGAGAGTGTTCAGATTTTAGTTACCTTGAATTTCACATCTATCTCCCAGGAAACTAGGATGACATCTACATTCAAATGAAGCACCAACGTTTGTACATTTTCCTCCATTGTAACATGGAGCACTCGCGCATGGGGTACCTTTCAAAAGAAGGTTTGATTATCGCTCAGAATGATGGAAATATTTATAAGCAAGTCAAACTGTGTAACACGCAAAAGTGTTGAATACTGGAAGCACGAAATATAAATTTCAAAGAAATCTTAAGAAGTGCAGTTACAGTAGTTATTTACTTACGGCAAATTGAGGATTCATCTAGACTCTCCCAAGGTATAACAACATTGGAAGCACAATCATCAGCGTAAGCTTCAAGAGCCTGACAATAACAAACAACAGGATCATCTTCACAAGCACACATATCATATTCACAATCTTCAATATATCCTTCTTGAACCGGATCGATATAACTGGAACAATTACTGAAAGGTGGTTTGGTTAACGCTGAACACTTATTACGAGCTATCAACTTTCTCCCTGGATTGATGTCACATGGGTGCGACACTTCAACGGCTTCGTCACATTCTGGATCAACTTTCCAAGAATTTCCGAATTCAACAGAATCAGTTGTACATATTCCATCGTAAGTGCAGAAATCATCACCTCGTCTTTTATTATAAGTACCACATAAACCAGATGTTCTATTTATATAACGACCTAGAATTGTCACTCGCACATTGTAGACATTGTTCCAAAATACTGTCACACCATAATCACTTGTTACCAATGTTTGACCACTTCCAGGTCTACTAATAGTAACATCTTGAAAGGAATATAAAATAGAATAATAAGTCGGGAACTTTGAATGGAGCGAGAACAAACTGTAGAATAGAGAATAATAATGTTATGCTATGCGCCCCCCCCCCCCTACTTTGCTTCTTCGAACAGAATAACGAATACACCCAGATTATGTTGCATGCATGTGATCCATGTCAAATTATGTTAATTAATGTGATCCATGATTGGCCCAACTTAATTACTCGCAAAATAGAAAAGAAAAGCTTAAGAAAAACTAAAGGTCTAGATTTTATTGTTTTAAATACAAAATCAATCATTTTATCTTGACTCATGAAATTTTTTATCCAATAGAACTCATAAACCGAGATACCTGGATAGTTGACTGGTAATGTAACTTCAGCACCATTAACTAACGTCATTCCTCTTCGGAGATGAATGAAGGTTGAATTTGTAAATATCACTGTCAATGATTTCGTACACGTGGGAAGTCCATTTCCACAAGGTTCATTTTCTTGCCTTATTTCAAATGTGTTGTTTACAAAGTCTTTTGCCAGAACGTATTCACATTTTCCCATGAAGTCAAAACGTTTTCCATCAAATGTCGTGTAATGTGGATCTCCCTGAGCTTTACATGTCGCTTCAACTACAAAGGAGAGTTTAAAATATAAATTGAGCTGTTTTTGTTCGCATAAGGATTACATAAATAAAAATTAATATAGTTTCGTGGAAACACTGTTGGTAGACGTTAGAAACTCTCATGCTCTGAGGACTTGTCATTCGATGGCCCATCCCTTGAAACGTTTCAATCTAGAAAGTTCTGTAAATTTTTATCGCATTTTTCCGTGCTAGGCTCAGTTTTCGTCAAGTTCATCTTCCACCAATCGAATATGTATCAGAAACCAACCTCTCTTTTCGCAACTTTGCCCTTCAAAATCCTGGTTACAAACACATTGATGGGTGCCACCGACCGCAACACACATTTCATTTTCTCCACACTTCATTTCATTACAGTTTAAAACTAAAATGAAAAAATCTAAATAAGTCTTTTTCGCAACATAGAAAAACAATTCGAAATGCAAGCAATTTAGTTCTTTGTTATATGATAATAATCTTTAATTAAGAAAACTTTGTCACTATAAAGTGGTTTTCACAAAGGTCCTGCTTATAATGATCTCTATGAAAATATGAAACTATGTATTAGATAAAAGTCGCTAAATACGTCTTTTTAAATATTCATTCAAATATAGATAAGTCTAGGGTTATTAAGTTAAAAGTTTTGAAAATAACTTTCTCTTAAAAATCTATCATGAGAAAGCATTTCGTATAATTATAACTTTGTCTGTTCATTTAGAATTGTGTTTATTTTTCTGTCGCACATTCTGCTACAAGCATGCATCTATACCACCCCGTTCCCTTTTCAGAATCCCAGGCTAACCTGGGCGCGGTTTTCTGCTTTGCAATTGAAACCTTGAACCAAACTTGTACCAAATAAGGAGTTTGATTACACAGGCAAAATGTAATGGTGGCACAACATACCATCGACAAGCAGAACAAGAAATAAGTAGCAAAATTCAAAGCTCGGTAGAATATGTTAGTTATTAACTAATCTCACATTTCCGCTCAGGGATTTTTTAGGCAAATATTACCAATTAATAGATTATAACCAACAAGAACACTAGTATTTATTGCTTCTCATGTACATAATTTGAATAAATTGACGAACCTAGCTTAGTAAGTATGGACAGGAGCGTTTGGCATTGGTGATTGCGAGCAAAGTGTGGCACCTGATAACGTTTATCATCTCATTAAATAATATTGTTTGAATTGCATTCGAAGCGACCAAAATGCGACGTGTAACCTAGGCCATATACATTTGTGCATCATTTAGATGTGTTGTGAAAAATATATTCATCAGAGATAAAACCATACCTCTGCAAGTTGAGGACGACATATTCTGTGCTAAAGTTGCAAATTCATTAAAATCTTGCAATAAGTAAACATATTTATCTACGGGATGTGAAGCCATTGTTTTCAACTCGTTTACGTCGATTCCTGAGCCAACCCCAATCGAATATATGACAACGCCTGCTTTTTTTAGCTCCTGGGATGGCTGCGCAACATTTCCACTGCTTTTCCCATCAGTCAACACTATCAATATTCTTTTTGTGTCTAAATAAATAATTTTTATATATATTTTATATATATTTCATTTATATTCGTTATTAACAACATCATGATAAAAAATATATATCGGGTATATTGCTGCGTATGCAAAAGAGTACATATTTTCGGTTCAGGAGGAGAGCTGGAGCCTCGAGGGGGATGCAGTGAGATATATTGATAAAATTTTTAGAATTCGCTAATTTTAGTTAATCAAAGATCTGGATTGGATTTGTAACTGAAATAAATTTCAATATTAATGAATTCGTCCAAATTATTTTATGGCGCTAGATACGTGATAAACGTGATATGCATGCATGATAAACAAAAAATAACAAAATAAAAGAATAACTCGTATAATTAACAAACCTGATATGCGGGTATTGAACATGTGCGATTTCGCAAGTGTCAAGGCTGCGGCAGTATTAGTGCCTCCACCCGTGTACGGAATGTTGTCTATAGCAGAATAGAGATCTTGCCGTGTTGGAAATGCTTGAGAAAATGTAAGATGCAATGACGCCGAGGAGGCATATGACATCACGGAGACCCTTGTATTATTTTGTGAAACTTTGAAGTGATAGATAAGGTCCTTTACAAACGATTTCATTGTCTCAAAATGTGCTGACCCAATGCTACCAGAACTGTCTAACATAAATCCAAGATCAATCTTCGTCGTACACCTTGGAATTAATTTACCTACGAAAAGAAATTGGAAGAACATTTTAATAAAAAGAAAATTGCCCGTTGAATCAGACTTGCATTGCAAGTAATAGTTAAGGACTTATTTGTATGGGAATTTTACATAGCGAGTGCGTTGTTCGCAAATCCCATAGAGAACAGTCGCTTGTATTTTGAGATTTTTTGTGAAATTGATTATCAATCTATGACAGCACCCTTGCATTACCTTTTACACAGAACAACCACATGCAGTAATTAGCGATCTATACTTGCATCATATGTTTCATTACATGCATGTGAAGAAGATACTGTAAAGTTATCAGTACTTAGAAATTGACTATTCCAAATTTCGCAAAAAGGATTAAAGTATTTGGAAGAAAAATAGAACCCATTGTTAGGCATAAAAGATAAAAAATTTCCCCCAACATTCGCCCAGAAATGAATTAATATCAATGTTATCAAACTGGTTTCCGGTCGAGCTTTGGTAGAGATATTAAGAATATTAACGTCAATGAGTCCGCAACGATGTTTGGCATAGATAACCCATGGCACTGAAAATTTTTTATGTACAGTGCACTGTAACTAAGGATATCAATAGTATACCAAAATGGCATAATTTCCTTTCTAACTTTCTATAATGATGACAAATCCTAGATATTTAAATTATATCATATTCTCAATTATAGACGTTATACATACATGTTCGCCCATCTCCAGTATAATCTTCGTTACAAATACAGGCAAATGAACCATTCGTGTTTATACATGATGCTCGAATTGAATGATCACAGTTGTTACTCCCAATCTCGCATTCATTTATATCTGTATAGTGTTAAAACACAAAAATTAATAATTTCCAGACAAGGTACATAAAGTACTAGGTACATACATTTCCCGCAGTCTGGGGCAAATAGCAAAGCGTAGTTCTTATATGTCACCAACGGTCGACGATGGCCATGCATTATCGGTGATATGCTTTTTCATTTTGAATTTTTTTTTGTTACAGCCCACAAACAATACATCGGCGTTGTCAGTGACATATGAGAATCATGCTGGCTTTAACGAAGCTTATTTTAAGCAAGTATTGCAAAACGCCGGCACACGACTGTTGTAAAACATTTTTTTTAGTTGAAAGAGACACAGCGTGGCATTTATGAGTGTACCTTCACAATTTTCACCATTTCCAGTGTATCCTTCTTTGCAAGAGCAGTTAAAACTTCCTAATGAATCTAAACATGTTGAATACACTGAACAAAATGTTCCACGGCAACATTCATCCACGTCTAAAAAATGAAAAATGGCTTTAAGCAAATTTTTATTGAGTACATTTTTTACAATGTTTCTTGAATATTGAAGCCTGAAATAAATAATTTTGTTTTATAGGTGCTGTGTATTTTAAATGTGATTGGTTCATTCATAGTCACATGACTTTAAATAAATGCAATGAAAGTGAAAGTGAAAGTGAAAAGTGCAAGTGAAAAATTGTTGCCCGCATATTGTCATAACAAGGTTTTTTGAAATGAAATTGTCGTGTAACATGTAGGTTTTTGTTTTTATATAACAAAACACTTAATGTTCGCTACACCTGGGGAAATAGTCAGTTTTGTTTTCCCTCGAGTCTCAATGTTTCCCTCGACTCAGACTCATGGGAAAACAAAACTCACTATTTCCCTCGGGAGCATACATTAAGTGTATAATATTTCAGCATGCAAGTTAAACCTGTACACAAGCAACAAGATTTAAAGATTTAAAGATTATCGACTATTGCAAATCATTCTTAAAATATACAAAGATCTGCTCACCATATGCAACGACAAGACCTCTAATCTCCCGCTGTAATGAAATGATTCCAACATCTCGTGCATCCAAATTCTTGATATATTTGAGAATGAGGTTATCATGCTTAGATATCACGTACAAATTTTCAATATCAGTCGCAACTTGTAAATTTTGTTTGAATAGGTAATGTTCAGCTTGCTTGTTTTGCCAGTATATGTCGTTTTCATGACCTCGTAACCTGTGTCCTCGTAATTGATCCAGTAGATAGCTCTGTCGTATACGTCAACAGAAATTGATTGCGCTAACCCGGGATAGGTGAAGTTTTTGATTGATTGATCATTTGGATCGTAGCGAATGATTGGGGGATTTGAGGATCTGGCCATATAGATATAACTATGAAAAGGAAAAAATTAAGATTTCTACAATACATGGCTTTGCGAAATAGTTAAAAAAGTACAGCTCAGTACCAATAACGGGGCTTGCGGAGTGGTGGGAAATTAATTAGGAGATAAACATGTAAGGAATTAACAAATATGATTTACCCTGAAACTATGTCGATTTCCAAGTCTCTTACGTCAGAGATATCCGATAGAGCCTCAACTGCAGTTTGTTGACCACTTGAAATATTGTACATCCATATACTTTTATGAAGTGAGTGGAAATAATATATCACATTACTTTTGCCATCGACCGTGAAAAAGCTTATATTACTGATCGGTATGGAGGTAGCGTTGGAACCATCCAAATTGTAACTATGAAATCCTGTATTATTAAAATACAGGTACAACCTTCTGTTTATACCATCATATGACAACAAAGCATTTAAACGATCATCGATACTGTTCGCGCCAAGTGTGTAATCTTTAGTGCTATAGGACAAAGTGCCCATTGATGGAAACGAATAAATAAGGTACTTGGCATTGATCTGAAAAGAAGAAACGTTCTAAAAACATAGTTGGAAATATTGCTACACATGATTTTAAAACAATAATAAATGTTCACTTTCTACTGTAAAAATTCGAACATCTCATCGAAATCTCATCGACATTCTAACCATTGGTTTTACCCGGAATTCCTATAAGCAGGTGAATTGAACGACCAACAAGAAACATGACAGTGTTCAGGATTTAGTTACCTTGAATTTCACATCTATCTCCCAGGAAACTAGGATGACATCTACATTCAAATGAAGCACCAACGTTTGTACATCTTCCTCCATTGTAACATGGAGCACTCGCACAAGGGGTACCTTTCAAAAGAAGGTTCGATAATCGCTCAGAACGATGGAAATATTTATAATCAAGTCAAACTGTGTAACACGCAAAAATGTTGAATACTGGAAGCACAAAATACTCATTTCAAAGAAATCTCAAGAAGTGCAGTAACAGTAGTTATTTACTTACGGCAAATTGAGGATTCATCTAGACTCTCCCAAGGTATAACAACGTTGGAAGCACAATCATCAGCGTAAGCTTCAAGAGCCTGACAATAACAAACAACAGGATCATCTTCACAAGCACACATATCATATTCACAATCTTCAATATATCCTTCTTCAACGGGATCGATATAACTGGAACAATTACTGAAAGGTGGTTTGGTTAACGCTGAACATTTATTACGAGCTATCAATTTTCTCCCTGGATTGATATCACATGGGTGCGGCACTTCAACGGCTTCGTCGCATTCTGGATCAACTTTCCAAGAATTTCCGAATGCAACAGAATCAGTTGTACATATTCCATTGTAAGTGCAGAAATCATCACCTCGTCTTTTATTATAAGTACCACATAAACCAGATGTTCTATTTATATAACGACCTAGAATTGTCACTCGCACATTGTAGACATTGTTCCAAAATACTGTCACGCCATAATCACTTGTTACCAATGTTTGACCACTTCCAGGTCTACTAATGTTAACATCTTGAAAGGAATATAAAATAGAATAATAAGTCGGGGAGCGAAGACAAACTGTACAATAGATAATAATTGTTATGCTATGCGCCCCTAATTTGCTTCTTAGATCGGAATGCTAGAACCCAAAAGAACCTAAAGATCTGTAATTTATATTGTTTCAAATGAATTTTCCATTTTTTCAAATTATGAATATCTTCCCACTATAGCACTCTCAAACATTACTAGTTACTTGTACAATGCACCATTACTAGCACAATAGATACCTGGATAGCTAAATGGCAATGTGACTTTCACACCATTAACTAACGTCATTCCTCTTCGCAGTTCAATGAAGGTTGAATTTGTAAATATCACTGTCAATGATTTCGTACACGTCGGAAGTCCATTTCCACAAGGTTCATTTTCTTGCCTTATTTCAAATGTGTTGTTTACAAAGTCTTTTGCCAGAACATATTCACATTTTCCCATGAAGTCAAAACGTTTTCCATCAAATGTCGTGTAATGTGGATCTCCCTGGGCTTTACATGTCGCTTCAACTACAATTGAAAGCGTAAAGAATAATTCGAAAATCAAGCTGACGTCGTATACGAATCGAGACTAGCTTAATAATGAAGAAGCGTTTCATGGAAATACTGAAAGTAAACGTTTTTTCACGCTTAGAAGACTCGTCGTTTGATAGCCCAACCCTGGAAACATTTGAATCAGGAAGTTCAACAAAATTTTCTGCACGTTTTGAATCATTTCTTTAAGGTCACCTTACATAAAACCCCAAAAATTTATTGTAATTACCCATCATGGGTATTTTACTGTATACTTATATTCGCAGATATGTTGTACTTACCTCTTTTTTGGCAACTTTGTCCTTCAAAATCAGGGTGACAAATACATTCATGGGTATCACCAACCGGAACACATATCTCATTTTCTCCGCATCTTATTTCATTACAGTTCAAAACTAAAAAGAAAATGTCTGAATAAGCTGTACCCAATCAAAATCGAAGTGGCAAATAGTGCCACCTACATTAATATAAGAAAACCACCAGTAAGATAAATAAAATAGAGATTAACGAGGTAACCCTTTGGGAGATATGAAATGGTAGTTCTCGTTCTCATCAACTGAAAATTAATTTTATGTGAAATGATCGTCTCAAAAATTTAGATTTATTTGCCACTTTAACAAGCACTGTCTCATTTAGAATGTGCTCATTCTAAGCAGATGAAAGCTAGGAGTCGAAAGCTCCTGTAACTAAGATGTGAACATTCATGATCAATGATGATGAAGACTCTCTAAACAAACTGCACCAAGCTTGACCAACTAAAGATAAGCCCCAATGGCCAGTCTTCAAAGCAGTAATTCCAGAGTCTAAAGGTCCTGAGGTTGACATTTTAACGGAAACTTTACCGCAATAAAGAAATAAACTTCTAGTACCTAAAATTCAAAAGATTGTCGACTTGCAAATGCGGGCGATTTAAAATCTTGAATGCGGGTGATTAAAAATGTGAAATATTTTCACATGTGAAATTTCGCATTTAATTTCATGTGAAATCCTCTCGCATGTGAGATCTTACATGTGACTTTATGCGAAATCCTTTCACATGTCACTTTATGTAAAATCCTTTTACATGTGAAATGGCACATGTGACTTTATGTGAAAGCCTGTCACATGTGATTTCATGTGAATTCTGAATTTCACATGATATCACATTATTTTCGTAAGGGTTACAATCCCAAGCTTGATGATATTTTCATGGAGGACCAAAACAAAGGCTTTATAACAAAAAAGTCCCACCAAAATACATGAACAAATGGTTTTTATGCAGTGAACATTTAAAAAAAAAAAGATTTTGGAACTATGGTTGGTGATAAAGGTTTACAGCATTGCGTGTTTTTTTTGATAATATATTTGTGCATGATTTAAGTTTGTTCTTAAGATGATATTAAACAGAGATAAAACCATACCTCTGCATGTTGTGGACGACATATTCTGTGCCAAAATTGAAAATTCATTAAAATCTTGCAATAAGTAAACATGATCATCAACAGGAGGTGAAGCCATTATTCTCAACTCGTTTACATCGATTCCTGAGCCAACTCCAATCGAATATATGACAACGTCTTCTTTTTTTAGCTCCTGGGATGGTTGTGCAACATTTCCACTGCTTTGCCCATCAGTCAACACTATCAAAACCCTTTTTGTTCCTAAAATGATTAATTTGCATTTATTTACGTTCCTTATTAACGATATCAATAAAATATACGGCATATTGCCGGGTATAAAGATATTTTAGGACATGTTACACGGTGCAATTTTTCTTGCACTTGATGGGTTGACGTGTAATCCATTAAAGTGCCTATATATCACTTGTGGGATCTTTACGGATTTGAATAGAGTTTGAAAAATTAGTTTATGAGTTCTACAACCCTTTTTGATATACTTAAATAGTTTCGGAAATATTTACATCTAAACATGACGATTTGCTTGAATTTCCGTCGTGCTCGGGGGCTTGGGACTCAGGAACCGAGCTCTTGTCAAACATAATATAATCAATTGTAATTTTACTTCGATCTTTCAATAACGTAAAATACTTGAGAAAAACTCGCCCAGTTGCTACAGCCATACACAACGCACCGTTTCCGCATTTTTATATCGCCAGTGAAACTCTTCATGTTTACATTATAAAAGACGGCGTGTTTGCAAATCATTCCTGAGTCCCAGTTCCACCAACCGACGTATTTTCGAAACTAATTAATTATATCCGCTTGTGGAACTTATAAACAAATTTTTCAAGCCCTATTCAAATCCGTAAAGATCCCACAAGTGATACAGGCACTTTAATCTTCTGTTTCGAGCATATTTCCTCCAAACCCAGTAACAACGAGTTGATGTGGAAAAAAAACAGAAAATGATAGAAATGCATGCATGATAAACAAAATATGAGAAAATAAAATAATAACTAGTATAATTAACAAACCTAATAAGCGGGCACCATTGTTGGTATTGAACATGTGCGATTTCGCAAGTCTCAAGCCTTCGGCAGTATTAGTGCCTCCACCCGTGTACGGAATGTTGTCTATAGCAGAATAGAGATCTTGCCGTGTTGGAAATGCTTGAGAAAATGTAAGATGCAATGACGCCGAGGAGGCATATGATATCACGGAGACCCTTGTTTTGTTTTGTGATACTTTGAAGTGATAGATAAGGTCCTTTACAAACGATTTCATTGTCTCAAAATGTGTTGACCCAATACTACCAGAACTGTCTAACATAAATCCAAGATCACTCTTCGTCGTACACCTTGGTATTAATTTACCTACGAAAAGAAAATGGAAGAAGATTTTAATAATCTCCTGGTAAATCTGTCTAACATTTGTACAAGTATACTAGTTAAAATACGAGCGACTTATCTGTATGGGTATTTACAAAGGCGAGTGGGTTGCACGTATATAGGTAGTGTGCTACAACTCCCGAGAGACTTATAAGACAAAGAGATTTTCGCCATATTGGATGACATTTGAATTGCAAAAAAGAAAAATCCTTTGTTAAAATCATCCAACATGGCCGCGATGACGCCACATGAGAACCACCTATAAATCATATAGAGATCTGTCGCGAGTATTTTAAAGTGCTTGAATTGGGAAAGTCATTATCAAAGAAAACTACTTTGCGTACAGTGGCGTAGCCAGCCTAACAATTTAGTCATGCTATGATAATATTTTGGTGTTCATTGACTGTGAAAACAATAAATTTCTGAAGAAATGTACAGGGGGTCCAAAAAAAAAAGCAACCACTTAAATATGCAGAACATTAATACAGGTCTAAAGCGCAATAGATAAGCACCTCTGGGAATTGAAAATGGCTCTTAATCCTTCACTTACAATGCTAAAAGTCATTTTAGCTGAACTATGGTGCAAACCCGAACAATATTAATATTCTTGCATATTTAAGTGGTTGCGTTTTTTTGGGACACCCTGTACAGGGTGTATAAAAAAAAACGCAACACTTAATATTCATGAATATCCTCTTTGTTCTACAACACAAAAGACGTTTGGCCCCTGGAATGCGAGAAAGCTTATAATCATATTCTAGCGGCACAATCGTCGGTAAACAAAGTCGGGTGCGTAAACCAACGAGCTGAATTGAAAGTATTTAACGAGTAAAATTTTATTTACAATTTATTTTACAAGGTCGACAGTTAGCATTCAAGTTATCATGCACGACAATAAAAACTCGTTGTTCAGTTGTTAGCTGCACCATTATTAGTTTGGCTGATTAATTTGACCATTAGCAGTTGAACTGTACGATTAGAAGCCATTTTAAAATCCCAGGGGCATAAAATCTATTGAGCTTATGAACAATATGAATTTTAGAATATTAAGTGGTTGCGTTTTTTTTTATACACCCTGTATAACAAAAAAAAAATTGTTCTGAATTTCTGCGTTAGAGCTGGCGTATTAATTGGGAGCGGTCCCATTCGTGCACAACATTCATTTATAAAATTTTACTCGAGGATTTTTTAGGGATTTAAAATCTCTCCCTCCGTGATAAGCTCCGCCGGCCTTGGGCTATAGTAACCCATGTAACTGGATTTTCCTTTGGAGCAACCCATAGATTTTCCATCATATAGGGTGGATAATAAAAGGCAACCACTTAATTTTCAAAAATATTCACTTAAAGTGGCGTAGCCAGCCTGACGATTTGTCCTGCTATGCTAATATTTTGGTGTTCATTGACTGTGAAAACAATAAATTTCTAAAGAAATGAATAATCATTTTAACTCAAAATTTACATAGCGGGACAAAATCGTCAGGCTGGCTACGCCACTGTTCACTTTGTGAGCTGCACAATTAGAAGTACTATTGTACTATATTGTGCTTAAATAACAATATATGAATATTGAGTGTTTTTATTCAAGCTGTATAATTATTGTAGTTTTTCAGAGCATGGTATTTAGAAATATATGAGGTATAAGGCATCTACAGGGTGTCCCAAAAAAACCCGAAAACTATTGAAATCACTCATTGTTAAAAATTAAATGCCGTGTTCACGAATTTCAGCCCGTGGGAATTTAATGCAACTTATAAAATGCTAAATGCTTTGTGTTGCTAGAGAAAGGGGACATGTCGAAGGTCATGGTCCTTAAGATGCACATTTAAATATAATGTTATACATATTTCTAATATGTAAAAATTGTTAATAAATATCATTTTTGCGAACAAGCAAATTAGACTGCATCATATGCATGCATAAAAATGCTTATGGCAACCCCGATTTATACACTTGTGGGCCCAACAGAGTGCTTAGGCATTCAAACTCTAACAATGGCATTGTTATGGGAGATTTCAACAGTTTTCGTTTTTTTTGGGACACCCTGTACAGGGTGTATCAAAAAAAACGCAACCACTTAATATTCATGAATATCCTCTTTGTTCTACAACACAAAGACGTTTGGCCCCTGGAATGCGAGAAAGCTTGTAATCATATTCTAGCGGCACAATCGTCGGTAAACAAAGTCGGGTGGGTAAACCAACGAGCTGAATTGAAAGTATCTAACGAGTAAAATTTTATTTACAATTTATTTTACAAGGTCGACAGTTAGCATTCAAGTTATCATGCACGACAATAAAAACTCGTTGTTCGGTTGTTAGCTGCACCATTATTAGTTTAGCTGATTTGACTATTAGCAGTTGAACTGTACGATTAGAAGCCATTTTAAAATCCCAGGGGCATAAAATCTATTGAGCTTATGAACAATATGAATTTTAGAATATTAAGTGGTTGCGTTTTTTTTGATACACCCTGTACTGTACGTATATATAATACATACATGTTCGCCCATCTCCGGTATAATCTTCGTTACAAAGGCAGGTAAATGAACCATCCGTGTTTATACATGTCGCTCGAATTGAATGATCACAATTGTTACTCCCAATCTCGCATTCATTTATATCTGTAGTCATAAAACACAAATAATTTCAAGACTTGGTAAATATCTGACGAATCTCTTCTACGAGCGGATATCAATATTAGAGAGGTTAAGATACCCCGGTTCCGGTGTACGGGTACGGGTAGCGCCATTTTGTTTTCCATTTTTCGCTGATGTCAGCATATTTACCCGTAATATCTACCCGTTTTCCCGTTGTAAACGACGGTCTACACGTAAACAACGAACGGGTAACTACAAAGACAAAGTGGTCAAAGTTTTTTTAATAAAGGACAAATGGAGAAGCGGGTGAGTGTCTTTAACACGTTTAAAATACATTTTACGTATTAATATGGTGTTCATATTGTTCAGGCTTCTCAAAAATGGTTTGCAAACATAATTTATGAACGCCATCTTGATATTTTTGATTTTCAAAACAAACACACGAAATACTATAGTTATATAAAAGTTAAGTAGGACTTACAATGGAAATGTATAATACATATTTACTTTTATAGTCAGTTCTTACCCGGTGTTGTTCTTACCCGGAATTTAAGAAAATTCTTAAGTTGCAAACCGTACCCGTCTTACCGGTAACGGGTACGTGTAATTCACCCGTACCCGTATACCGGAACCGGGGTATCTTAACCTCTCTATTATTGCATGGGGCACGCTACAACAGTGATACTATTGGTGACTTCATTCACATCCCTCAAATAGAATAAGCGAATATACTATAATTTTATAGAAGATTACCTTCACAATGACTGCCATTTCTAGCATACCCTACACTACAAGTACAGGTGAAACTTCCAAGAGTGTTTTCGCATACAAATTTCTCGGGACAGTGAGTTCGAAGCTGGCATTCATCTGTGTCTGTATTCAAAAAATAAAAAATCTACATATTAGAGTTTATTGAATTTAGCCGGAAAATACATATAGTAGCTACATGAAAAACTTACTTTAAAAAAGCAGTTCTTGGGTCAATTTGCCCCTGAACTACTTTCATGTTAGACATTTGTGATTTACGGTGGAGACCTAATTTAAATGCTTGTGCATGTATTGAAAAAAAACTCGATCTAATGAGTAGATTCAATCTGTATAAATTGATAAAAAGTGTTAAAGGATGCAAAGACATAAAACTTACCATATGCTACAACTAAATCGTGAATTTGAACATTATTGGTGATATTCCCAAGCTTCTCAAGCGATGTTTTCAAATACATGTCAATCCGGTTGTTGTTGATGTCAAAAACAAACAAATAAAAGAAATCAGAAGTCACTTCAATTTTGCCTGGATACGATATATTCAAAGAAACTGTTTCTTTATTAGGCAGTGTTTTCATGACGCTGTGATAGCTTCCATCGAAATTCGCCCAGTAAATAACATTATTGTATTCGTCAAAAGAAATTGACTGTGCAGAACCGCCTGCAAAATGGATCTCCGACTTTGATTCATCCGATGGATTGTAGCGCACGATTTGTGGAGCATTTGCGCTTGCTATGTAGAGGTAACTGTAAAAAAGGAAAATTATAAACTAAATTAATCTCAAAAAAAACAGCCACAGTATGTGATGTTGAAAATTATCCATTATGCATGACAAGAACGTATTGAAAAGCATCAAGTAAAAAAGAAGAAATTTAATGGTAAAAAAGTTGAAAATAGTACAACTACAAACCCCTACAAAATAGGACAAAATATAGAATGAAACATGTATTCCTGCAAAAGAAATAATTGACAATTAACCGTATTATACCCATTAGTTGTGTCCATTTCAAGATCTGTGATGTTGGATAGATAGGATAAAGCATCAATTTTAATATCTTGTCCACCTGTCATATTGTGTGTTCTTAATTTATGTTCAATTGAGTGATAATAAATTATCGAATTTGTTCTCCCATCCACCGTGAATAAATCCACATCATTGATTGATGTTGTAGTAGCATCTGAGCCATCCAAATTGTAACTTGTAAAGCCTTGTAACTTCACATACAGGTACAGCCGTTTGTTTATTGCATCAAAAGACAGTAAAGCATTCACTCTATCGTCAACTTTCGTTGGGATACTTGTGGATATTTTCGTATTATAGGACAGCGTGCCAAGTGATGTTGAGAAGAATAAATACGGTATTTGGTGTCGAACTAGAAAGTAATAACAAGCAATTCATGAGGGCAATTGACGAACATGCAAATCACCAAATTAATTTAAACTTTATTTTGTCGCTCGTAAAACACACATCTACTGTAATTCGTAAAACACACATCTACTATAATTTCAAATTTCTTCTACTTGAAAGCGGCCAAAATATTCGAAGTTGACTAAAACGACTAAGGGCTAAAATTATAATGATGCATGCAAGTTTTGTTAAATCATAAATTCTTATTACTAGTCCTATTCAAGTGCGACAGCTATAGAGCATTAGTCACAGTTACCTTCGCTTTCACATCTTTCACCGCGATATTCAGCAGGACATCTGCATTGAAATGATGAAGGACCAAGATTGATGCAAGTTCCTCTATTGTAACATGGAGCACTTGCGCAAGGGGTATCTATGAAAAATGGACATATTAAAGTGTGCAAATTTAATTTCTTATTTTACTTTAAAAATGGGCACTTTTTTCGTCACATTTAAACGCTATAAAAGCTAAGTTAGTGGAAGAATATCAGATTAAACTTTGAATCATATGATTTTGTTATTTTGAATTTCACAAAATGAAAACATATTCTTCTTTCTGGCTTCGAAGGTTTTTCACAAGCTTAGTGGAGCTATATGATTTTGATAAAGGAAAACCTCCTTTTCTCAACTTAGAACCAAGTAATTATATAATTATATTATTCTATCTCTCTTTGTGCATGCATGCATACTGACATGGGATTTTGCTATAAAATTATAAGTATAACTAAATTTTACAATAACCATTATACTTACGGCAAATTGCAGATTCATTTGTTCCCTTCCATGGTATATTAACATGGGGTGAGCAATCATCAGCGTAAGCTTCAAGAGCCTGACAATAACAAACAACAGGATCATCTTCACAAGCACACATATCATATTCACAGTCTTCAATATACCCTTCACTGGTCGCATCGATGTAACTGGAACAAATACTGAAGGGCGGGCTAAGTAATGTTGAACACTTTTCACGGGCCACCAATCTTCTCGCTGGTTTGACATCACATGGGTGTAGCACTTCAACAGCATTTGCGCATTCTGGATCAACTTTCCAAGAGTTTCCGAAGGCTACTGGGTCAGTTAAAACTGTTCTATTAGATGTCCAGAATTCATCATCGCGTCTTTTATTATAGGTACCGCATAAACCAGATGTTCTGTTTAAATAACGACCACGAACGGTCACTCGCACATTGTAGACATTGTTCCAAAATACTGTGACACCATAATCACTTGTTACCAATGTTTGACCACTTGCAGGTTTAGTAATGTTAACACCTTGAAACAATGTTCAAATAAAGTATAATAGTCGGTGAAGACAATGCATCGATGACATTAGGTATTATTATATTTTTGCTTATAATTATGCCGTCAGTTTATCAAATACATATTTACATTAAGTCATACTTGATTTACTCAAAGTATTTTTTGCAGATATAAAAGGAGAAACGCTTATCATTTAATAAATCTGCAAATAATTTCAAGATACCTGGATAGAAGACTGGCAATGTGACTTTCGCTCCATTGACCAATGTCATTCCTCTTCGGAGATGAATGGAGGTTGAATTGGTGAATATCACTGTCAATGATTTCGTACACGTCGGAAGTCCATTTCCACAAGGTTCATTTGCTTGCCTTATTTCAAATGTGTTGTTTACAAAGTCTTTTGCCAGAACATATTCACATTTTCCCATGAAGTCAAAACGTTTTCCATCGAATGTCGTGTAATGCGGATCTCCCTGAGCTTTACATGTCGCTTCAACTACAAATGAAAGTATAAATTTCATTTATTGCTGCCTTTAAAAGCTGTAGGGCAGTAAAAGTTCATGTACGCACGGTAGAGGGAAATTCAAGTGAAATAATTAAGGCTAGAGCATTGTCTCATTGTCTAAAGGTTAAGAGACAAAAAAACAACGTTGAAGCAGCCTGACGACTTGAACCTTGTTGTTCACATGAGCTCGAAATAACTTAATTTCCGACGCGAGGCTACTCGTTGTCCCAGGACAAAATTCCATGCGTTTCCATCGACTCTGGGACAAGTTCTCTGACTTGTCCCAGAGTACTACATAGCGGGATACCGGCAAATGTACATGACTAGCCTTGTAAAACGAAATAAATTATATCATTTGCCATTATTATTTTTTGCCATGCACTTCTAGATTGTTTGTCTCTGAACTTAAATCTAGAATTTTATTTCTAACGATCTTTTTGTCCCGAGGTATAAGTTGCAGTGAAACACATGGCGCAAGTATAGAGTATATTCTCCTCTGTAGCAGCGAGACACTCGAGTTAGCTCCTGATGTTAAGTATTCTTTTTCAGAGAGTAATTATAGCTCCTACCTCTTTTATCACAGTTTTCTCCTTCAAAATCAGCGTTACAAACACATTGATGGGTATCACCAACTGCTACACAAATTTCATTTCTTCCGCAAATGAGTTCATCACAGTTTACTAAACAGAGAAATGGAAAAATAATCGCTGTTCAAATGAAGCGAGACGGTTGTTTCAATAACATACAACAGGTATCGATTTTGACCCAAGCGTTTGGGAAAATATGCGATATATAGCTGGTGATAAACAAAATAACATATTCATGGATAAAACCACTGTCCGGCCTGTAGAGGGACCAGGGCCGTAACCAGTAGCGTAGCCAGCCTGACGATTTTGTCCTATGTAAATTTCGAGTAATTATATAATTATTCATTCCTTTAGAAATTTGCTGTTTTCACAGCCAATGAACACTAAAATATTAGCATAGCAGGACAAATCGTCAGGCTGGCTACGCTACTGGCCGTAACTACAACTGTAATTGTTGGGATACATGTTTTTCATATATTCAGTTCTGCCCGACTGAAAAAATAAAATTTACTATGGCTGCAAGTACGAGTGCTCGATTCGCATCAGTTTCAAACAGTGGCGTAGCCAGCCAGACGATTTAGTCATGCTATGCAAACTTTATGTTATTATCATAATTCATCTCTTTAGAAATTCATTGTTTTCGCAGTCAATGAACACCAAAATATTAGCATAGCATGACTAAATTGTCGGGCTGGCTACGCCACTGGTTTCAAAACAGGGAATGGAGAAAATGCACGCTAATAGAGACTCAGGATACACGAAGAAGTCTACGAAGTACCATTTTGAATGACGAGCAATAAATTGTTTGAATATTTACGTTTTATTATGCTCATGTCCTCTTTTTCTGGGATCCAGTGAATAATAAAACAATTACTAAATTCGGCTTTCGCAGGATATCCAGAGTAATTTAGGCCTCATCCTGCTCAGCTTCATCCAATAAGTTTAGAATTAACACCCCCCCCCCCAACCCCAATAGGCAAATTCCAATACTACATTATGGCCAGTAAAATTAAACACAAAGTCAAAGATCTAAAATTTCCATTCAAGTTTGGCAAAATTATTTTCATACCAAAAAATACCCAATTCAATTAGGTTCTTGCTTGTATATAATTTTTTTGGCCGGTGGGTAAACAATAAAACTGTATTAAAAAGTAATAAAACCGTACCTTTGCAAGTAGTAGACGACATATTCCGTGCCAAAGTCGCGAATTCATTAAAATTCTGTAACAAATAGACATGATTATCCACGGGAGGAGAAGCCATTGTCCTAAGTTCGTCCACATCGATTCCTGAGCCAACTCCAATAGAATATATGACATACCAGAGTTTTTAATTCTTGCGATGGTAGTCCGACACTGCCACTGCTCCTCCCATCGGTTAAGACTATCAATACTCTTTTTGTTCCTGAAAAAATTCCGTTTAATATACATGGGCCCATGGCCACAGCAGATTCATAATTACAAGCAGGGAATAAATTTCGATATAATTATCATCATGCATATTTCCCCGGTCCCATTTATTCATTATTTTATTTTGGAAAGGGTTCAATGTGATTGTGATGGACATAATTCAAATGTAGGACATGTCTCACGTTCAAACATCCATTAAACTGGAAGAAAATAAGGCTTCTTACCAAAAAGAATCAATAAAGATCAGATTTTTCTTTATGGGTTAAGAAAATCTAATCTTCTCAGAATAAAATCGGCGCGATCAGATACTTTACTCCCCAAATTAGTTTAAAAATAAACTTTTCGAAGTTGGTTTTGAACACATTTGAGTCGAATGCACACCAAACCAATTATTATATAAAATGATTCAATAGAATCCAATTCAACAAACCTAATATGCGGGCACCATTGTTTGTATTGAACATGTCAGATTTCGCAAGTCTCAAGCCTTGGGCAGTATTAGTGCCTCCACCAGTGTAAGGAATGTTGTCTATCGCGGAATGAAGATCTTGTCGTGTCGGAAACTCCCGAGAAAATGTAAAACGTAAAGTCGGTGAGGACGCATATGACATCACGGAGACCCTTGTATTGTTTTGTGAAATCTTAAAATGATCGGTAAGGTCCTTAACAAAAGATTTTATTGTCTCAAAATGTCCAGACCCAATACTACCAGAACTGTCTAACATAAATCCAAGATCACTCTTCGTCGTACATCTTGAAATTAATTCACCTTAAAAGGAAAGAAAGCACGTAAATGCCACGACAGTTTAAGATACCACTGGGTATAATTGCTGTAAACTATATATTTGTTGATGGCTAACATACGAATAACATCTGTTTGCCAGCTAGCTTAGATTTTTTTTTTAAAATAGAGGCAATAATATATAATTATTATGGTGCATGTATCAGGGAAGTGATTTTGAATAAAGGGAGGGTCATTCTCGAAATATTTTCTGCCTTGAAAAATTGTTTCCAATGCATGAAATAATTCAGTCCTCGTGAAAGCCATAGGAAACGTGGTCAATAGGTCGTGGTCAAGGATTGATTCTTCTTGCGGTCACCTTTCTTTAATTTTTTTTAGTTTTCACAGCGTCAGGTAAGAGTAGTTTCACTTTATAGCTATTGTGGGATACAGATACATACACGTTTGTCCATCTCCGGTATAGTCTTCCTTACAAACACAGGTAAAAGAGCCTTCGGTGTTGATACACGTTGCTCGAAATGGATTATCGCAGTTGTGTGTTCCAGTGTCGCACTCATTTATATCTGAAGACATAAATCACAAATAGAACTGTAAGGTTAGTCTTCTTCAAGTCAAGTAGCTATATGAGAGCTTCACTGTATCTGGCAAAGTTTTAACAAAGCGCTCTCTCGCAGGTGACTGTTCCCATTTTGCACTCGTCAATATCTGGTAATGGGATTTACAATAATTGCATGCATTATAGTGTTTTAGAAAATATTTTCTCTTTATTTCCAGGCGTGTATATTAATGCACTGCAAAGATCAATATTTAATTTTTCTGCATTCTGCAATAAAATGAGCACAATAATCATTACATATGGTTTGTACAAACCGATGCAAAAGGTGCCGTCTCCAGTGTATCCAATTGGGCAAGAACAAACGTAGGAACCCAGAGTATTCAAGCAAGTTGCATTCGGATTAACGCAAATGTCATGTTTCCAGAGGCATTCGTTAATATCTGAAGAGATAAAAGGGACATTATGATTGTTGCATCTTTTTCAATGAAAAGAACATTAATTTTAACGAGTAATTATTATAAGGAATGAATAAGGAAACCATAATAAGACCATTTAGGTAAATTTCTTAAATTTTTGTTCTGTTCCCTTACCAATTTGAGCAGAACATTTTTCTGATTAGTTTCATCGGTATATATTTTACTTTCTTTCACAAACATAATTTAGCAGACATCTTGAACACGCTGTTTTCGCATGCGTGCGCATACCAATGGTACAATCGCCTACAAGTCTTTGTGATTGACATCGTCAATGCTGAAGATATACGAACTCTAATAGGCTTTTCAATGTTTTAATTTTTGGACATAAAAAATTCATCTGCACAAATTCATATTTTTTATGTAGTCGTGTCAAAAGGTAACGAATAGGTGTAGATGCTTGATTGACAGATATTTAATTTAGTTCCCCAACAGTGAGAAAAACACAGCCCGCGGCAATGTAAATTAAAACGCCAACTGACTGGAATGTCGACATTTTCTAATATATTTGTTTAAAAATATACCTAAACATGATAACCCGTCTCCAGAATAACCTATATTACACAAACATTTAGACGACCCGTTGACATTAACACATGATGCATGGACATCGCAAATTCCTGTTCCAAATGCACAGTCATCATTTTCTAAAAAAAAACAGTGACGAGATAACAGAGTAGTCATTATCATAAATATTTATTCCTCTGCAAATAATACCGCAAAAAATACATTTCTGAATAGAGAAAACCTTGTCCTCGTTTTCATCATAGTCTATATATTTTTACTGCATGTCGAAATAAAGACACCGGCCCTTGCAAAACGGATTCCATATCGTATATCCTCCTGGCTAGGCACGCAAGAATTCAGATATGTGAGTTCATAAAGAGTGCTTACCATTTGATTGATTGCGAGAACCAACACCACCAGAATAAGCATAGGAAGCTCCATCTTTCCACCCATATACAAAAAGACCAAACTTGACAGAGAAAGACATATGATACACTGTAACAGTGTTTGGATCGGATAAACCTATTACTGTCCATACATAATCTGTCCCATTAATTCTTTCCCATCGTAGGCCATTAAGTTTTACTCCATTCATATACAAACCATCGATATTTTCGTTTTGTATAACTATCGTGATTGAATCGTGATATGCTGAGCCAAAAGGCAGTGCTACGTGATAATAAGAAAGAAACTCCTTCACTGATGGAACTACCATCATTGAAGGTTCCGCGAATTCCCCAAAAATTTTCTCGCCTTTGACGTATTGCACGACCTGACACGGCTTGCTGCACTTTATAAACGAAGCCAAGTTCTTCTGTAATGTGAATTCTGTGTAATTCCCTGATGACAAGACCTTTGTCCAGTACGGGCTTACAACAACCGTATCATTTTCATAAGCAAAAATTCGAAAAATGTTTCCTTCTGTTTTATCTATTGTTCCTACTGGTGTCAGAAGGTATTCATAACCCCACAATGATACAGGCAGCATGGTCGCTTCAAAGAAATCAGACCATCCTTCAATACCAGGGCGGTCTACGCCAGATATCACAGTCACTGGTTTGCTAGCAAGAACGAGTGTTCCAGATAAATCTGAAGTGCTAGAGAGGTAGAGCGCATCGAGTTTTTCAAGGACTTCGGTTATGTGTATCGGTGATATTTGGCCATCATACCATTTGCCGCGATAATATACAACTGCATTTTTGTTCAGATGAATATTTATCGTGTTGTTGTCGTGTGCTGATATTACAGCGATATTTGCCCTGTAGCTCGAGGTATATGGTCGATATGACGCGACAACATAAACAATACCCAGAGTGTTGGTTGGTAATGCCAGCTTTGCATCCGCCGCTTTGCTATAACCATCGAAGTTTACACACAACACTGAAATATCGTCCGAAGATGAAATCTCAATACCTTTCTGAATGAGTGTTGATTTGTGCATTTGCAGATCAATCGGAAGTTTATAGTCAAAAATCCCTCCTTCATTAATGTGTACGGTGTAATTCCAAGGCTGACCCGTCTGATTGCTAAAGATCGTCACATCTGCTGCGCTAAGGGCAACGATGGATACTCCTATATAGTCAGTGTGGTACCTCCGATATTGTGATGTAAATCCAATGATGAAATGCTTTCCATAGCTGTTTTGATCACCTTGGTAGAATTAAAACAGCATAAATATACATTTTTCAGTCAATCGAGTATTAAAAATCTATGTATGACGTAGCCTGGTCTTCGATATCCGTTAAAAAATGGTTCGAAAATTAAATACGAGAGCTAAAAAATCTCAATAATGAGTACTGTCTAATTTAGCTATCTGGGGCTACACTTTGCATAGTTAAATCCTAGTTATTTTAGAAATACACAACTCTGATTGGCCACCACTGTTTATAATAACGTAAACAATTAAAATTTAGCTAGTCTTTCATACAACTGGCCCCTACATGGCAATAGAATTATGGATGTTAGTTGCCAAGAAAGGCCAGTATCTGAGAGGATTCGGATTAGTGACCGCTCACAATTTTTTCAATTTCAGTATAATATGACGTAATGCTGCATCCACTCTGCCCGATAAATGATTTTAGCATACATTTTAATAAATAAATAGGTCGCTATTATGTCCATACTCACCTATGAACCGCGACTTGTACGATGGCACTGGTGATGAAAATGGAGTCTTATCTATCGAGAAAGAAACATCCCTGGTTAAACTTGTCATTGAATATAATGTTGCCGAGTGGGTTAATTCACAATTTCCAGGAATCAATTAGGTGAACAGGACAGGCAAGGAATTATGTTTTTTCAAAGAATGATACATTTGGTTTTAACAAGCACATATTAGCTTATTATAATTATGTGTATGGAGATTTATGCACAGCAGAATGATGAAATAAAAATCCTATTTCACTGTGTAAATTAATTTCATGCAATTTGATTGGACGTACGATGTTTTTCACGTGTGAAAAAATGCCATACGGCTTTTGAATGGACGTGCGATATTCTTCACATTTGATTTCATTTTGGCGGCAATTTGTTTACATTTTCTTTCAAGATGGCGTCGAAATATAGGAGTGAGATTCAAAACATAATCCTCATATTCAAGATATTTTTACATTCAGCACATTCTC